CACCATCTATTAATATCAAAGAAAAAAACTTGAATTAATATCAAAGAAAAAAAACACTGCATAAATAAAATAAATAAATAAATATTATTGCATAAGTTGACAAATAATGCTATGCAATAGCTTTACCGTGGCAGTCCCTGAGTGCCACACGTATTTTTTATTAATGAAATTAAACAAAAATAACAATAACAAAGCTTAAATGCACGCCATAAATGGCAGAGATTTGTCCGGATTAAAAATAAAAGTAGGTACTGAAAGTGATCCTACCCGTGATGGACAGACAATTATTGATGGGAACAGTTTTACAGTGATTTTACTTGGTAGCACCAATAGGCTAGTTAACCCTTTTTGGAAAAAGGTTTTAAATGGTTAATTAATGTTCTATTAGACCGAAAAATAATGTATCGTATTTATTTGAGACTTAGAAAGCTCCAAATCTTTAATTTTAAAATAGACTTTTCATGGACATACAAAAACGCTGTCGGCCATTTTAGTCCATAGTTTATCTATGCTATGACGTCAACCGGTATTAAACAAAAACTCGTAAGCACGTAGAAAATAACATAACTGACTTTATAAAAAAAACCTGATTTCTAATAAATACCACGTAAAATATAGTAATAATCATTATTGTATTGTACGAGAATGTAAAAACACATCCTTGAAGACTCCAGGACAGTTGTAGATTAAAGTGCGGAAAGAAATTAACCTACGCAATACTTGGTTAGAACTCGCTAAAAGGGATCCTGCAACTTTATCTCACATTCTCATAAAAATATATTTTTGCGAAGATTACTTTGATGTAAGTACTCATTGAATAATATTTTAAGTCTCTTCATTTATTATCAGTTTTAATAATACAAGATTTATGCTTTCTGCTTTCACGAAACCGGCATCAATAATTAGTTTTGTCAAAAAAATCAATAAACGGAAACTTTTCTTTTAAAAGTGTTTTATGATAAATTTAGTTAGACGAAAGAATCCACCCAGAGTAACACGCGAATGACATTTAGTTGTTTACTACCAAAGAGACGTCACAATCATGGCGGATGTGGCGAACAGCGTTTTTAGTGTTTAAAAAGTATAGACTAAAAATTATTTTTTAAAAATTAAATTTCTACAGCAATCTTCTGCTTTTATGAAGTGAAATCGATATATTTAGGTTCTTTAGATGAAATACTTAAGGAAATAAACATTTATTTAATACAATTCGACGTGAGCCAACTAGTCTATTGTTTATCTATAATCGTGACGTAAATAGAGTTAATACTGTGAGACTTTCAGCTTTCCCACAACGCTGTAACCGTACTGACATTATTAGGGTATTACGACATATAAACTTATCCAACAGAATCAAGCAGATTTATGGGTTGTTAAAATCCAACATTTAACGATCTATAGAACAAGCTCACGAGCAGGCATAGTCTACAATTCAAAACATTGTCATTATTATCTCGAGTTTGATGTTCATTACGGTTTTCAGGTTTCGTGAATTCGAAACGCTTATTTGGTAAAGGTTTAAAATGTGTATGTAGTTTAGTTTGATTATCATTTAAATTTATACAATGAAAGATAATTTCACCACGGGGCCTCTCGCCCTTAATTTACGTACCAATTTGTGTAGCTTTTCGGCTGTCACAAGCGCTTGTCAGATTGAGCAAAAGATTTTCATGTCGACTATTTTCGTTTCAGAGTTGGATAACGTAATTACAACGGAGACACATTTGCATGAAGTAATTTAGAAGAGATTTACTTGGATTATAAAACTGGAGCGAGAATATTATTATTATTTAGCACAATACATTATTATCTTGTTAACTCGAAAACAAAAATAAAACTTGATCAAACATGATTAAAATGAATGGTTTTTATATGCATTTGTTCAAGTTTAAATTAAAATTTACAAAGGGGTGGAAATTGTATGTACTTACCTAAGTAAAAAAAGTACTTAGTAGGAGGATTGCTTAAACAAAACAATTTAAGTAAAGTCAAGCATATACAGCCCAGTATCCGCAGTCGGGCTCCAATTTGAGCGTAAAATCCGCTATAATCCTATGCCCAAACTCTCTTCAATCCTAAGTAAGAATTTTCCACCAAAAACAAAATTAATAACACGCTTAAGAATACAATTTAGAATATATAATTGAAACATGTTTCTTGTCAACATTTTGGTTTTACTTTCAGTCAACAGAAATTTTCACCGAACAAGAAGACTGACTGATTAATTTCTACGCTTACATATAGGCAAAGGTCAAGTAAGTATGCGTACCAATAATAAATTAATCCAGTTCAGAACAACCATCATCAATTAACGAAAAGCTAGACCAGACGTGTCTAGACCAGACGCGTACAAATCAAATGTACCTAATAATCTCACTGAACTAGAACAAGTTGAGTAAAAGGGCATGGATTATAAATGACGCATTCGTTTCACAAACAAACGTGGTCAAATAAATCTGAGGATCAACAGTTTGATTGGATTGCAGTAATATTTCTCCGGGGATTCAGCTTGTGGCACACGCCGAGATAACTCGTGCTTCCAATAGAGAGATAACAAGCCAGCTCAGGGCTCGAATGGGTTTTGTTGGGAGGATTTTATAAGATTTCATAGGAGGAATTACGGAGCTACTCGATCTTGTTGAGCGCAATAATGACGAGCTTGGATATGATGATAAAAATGAATACAAAGATTGAAAATCAAGAGAAGCACTCTCATTGTATTAAACTTTCATGGTCGCTGACATTATAGTAATATAGTCGTATGTTATTAACGGGATTGTTACCATGTACCTTGTTTTTAGCGAGTTTCCGATATTTCGGCACTGTTGCAAGCGCCATGTCGAGTAAATTGTCGAGTGGCTCGAATCCTGTGGTTCGCATATGTAAAAACCGGAAAAATCAAAAAAGTGTCGTATCGCGATCCGACATATCCGACATATAAACCTTCCTCTTGAATCACTCCATTAATTAAAAAGACCGCATCAAAATCCGTTGCGTAGTTTTAAATATCTAAGCATACATATGGACATAGGGACAGACAGTGGGAAGCGACTTTGCTTTATACTGTGTAGTGATATCAAAAAAGAGTATCCCGACCGAAAAGACAATGGCGAAATATTTGTTGAAGGAATTCTTTAGCGTCTATAGATTTCATCATCAGAAATGCAAATAAAATAATCGGATTATCAAATTTAATGATTGAGGAGGGTTGTACAAGTTTGGAATTAAAATCTTAAAATGGAAACAGAATTGATTAATTATTATTAAGTAATCACACTTTTGTATTGTGGCTTAGCGTCATGTCTTCTGAGTCTACTATTTGAAGTGATTTCAGTTATTAAATTAACCTCAAGTATATTGTTCGTAGATTTAACATCCCTTTACGTTTTAACTATACTTAATTATCTTTTAGAAATATCGTGAAGCATTGTTTTATTCAATACTAGTGGCCCGCCCTCGCTTCGCTTCGGTGTAGAGCTGTAGTGTAAACTATACTTTTTGTTCTCAGGCTTGTGCTATAAACAATGACTTTATTTATATAATTACACGTGTTATTGTGAGTCAACCATAAAAGATAGACATATGCTGTTGCGGGATATTTTTTAGACAATTTTATGTAGAATATTTCCGTCATACATGATTTCTATGTAACTTTAACCATTAAGGCTGCACCCGCGACGGAAGCTTAAAAAATGGAGTAACTTCTCACGTTTTCCCAACATTTCCCTTCACTACTCTGCTGCTATTGATTGTAGCGTGATGAAAAGTATACTATAACCTGCCCAGGAGTGTGAAGAATAATTGTACCAAGTTTCGTTAAAATCCGTTGAGTAGTTTTTGTTTCTATAAGGAACATACAGACAGACAGACAGACAGACAGACAGACAGACAAAAATTTTACTGATTGCATTTTTGGCATCAGTATCGATCACTAATCACCCCCTGATAGTTATTTTGAAAATATCTCATGTACAGAATTGACCTCTCTACAGATTTATTATAAGTATAGATTATAGTGAAAGCATAACCAATAATTAGACCATTCTACCATTGTGAATTGTTTTTTATGCAGTTAGCCGTGCTTAAACGTCCGATTTGTATTGTAAATATTTGATTGAAGTAAGTAGATACAAAAAATATAAATTGTTGAGAGCAAGACAAATAAATAATCAATCCGATATAAAGGGATGGACACAGTATTCGCTTTTTTTATAGCCAGGTTGGCAAATGACCCTACCCCACCTGATTTTAAGTGGTGATAGAGTCTAAACGCGAAGATATCTGGTGCAGCAGTTATAAACTGCCGCACCAACCATCCTCACCTTGCCGGCCTGCAAAAATGCTTCTGCACGCCTCTCTTAAGAATCGCAGATTGTAGAAAGGAGGGAACACGTGCGCGGGCAAAGAATTCCATTTGCGAATAGTACGACAAAGTAATGAGTCTTTAGAACATGTTCTCTTTTTCTTAAACTTTATGTTTATTACACTACAACGTTATCCCAAAATATTGCTTCCATAGCGTGCGCCTCACACTATTTTCTGGGGACAAATGACCGCACACCGTGTGTGTTGAGTCAGTGACAAGTACTCGGCGGACATAATATGGGGACAAAAACTCTCAAAAAAAGGACAAAAGTCCTTCATCTGAGCAGGCTATTACGGGTTTTAAATAGTTTACATCCTATTCTCAGATCTCACAAAATTCCATAAGAAATGGTCTAGCCGTTGCGGAGGAGTTTTGTTACGAACACTGTGCTTATGACGGAATTATAAACACTAGAGCGTACGAAGTCTTCAGTAGATATGACAGAATTATCAGGGTTGGCATTGTGGCCACCTAAAATCTTGAGTTCGTTGCTTTGCTCATTCTTGCGGTGAAAAGAGATCCCGAACTGAATAATTGCCTTGAATATGCAATTCATTACAAAAGAAGATTTTGCATTTAAAAACGAAAGAATTGATTAAAATTCAAGGAAATGATACTAATAGAAGTTACTCACCTCTCGCCCGAGGCTTGGTCAGCAGTTTCTGGACGATGTCATCGTATGCTCTCTCATCTGCCACTCCCGAGTCTTTGACGAGTTTTTCTTTGACTGCGATGCAGATGCCGTTCCGCGCTAATAAAGCTTCTAATTCTTCAAACGCCTGTTAAAAAAGTTTTATTATTTAATTATACATGCCAGCTCACAGACTACTCTTATTTTTCAACCTATTATTATTTTTCTGTTAGTCTATTCTCACTGAATAATAGCGCATCGTATCACTGAAGTGAAAAAACTGTATTTTTTTAATTAGGAACTGAATTTTATTAAGCCGAAATAGTTAAAATCGATCAAAACTAACTGTTACTTGACGTGCTACGAGTATATGTAATTTCGGTTCGCCATAAACTATACGAGTACTAGCATTTAGCAAAGAATCTTTTAATAGTCACGGTTAAATGAAACGTCATAATGAAATTGAAATAATGCTCCTATTGAACTGTGGATATTTCATTGACTTTGACAGAACGATACCGGTTAAGTCAAAATAGATTAGTAATTTACAATTGCTTAATTGAAATTAGCGGTAGCCAGTGCAAATGTAATAGCAATGCGGTTACCATAATACCCAATCTATTCCAAAATTTGGCTACATTCGTAACTGATTCCTATGCCGTATGCCTAAAATCAAATTTAGCTCGTTGCTCTGGTGCCTAATAAATATTCATGGAATCAGTTGCATAATCTGTTTTATCTTCTAACTTTGCATATATGGATTCAAATCTTTGATGTCACGGTTGTTTTGTTAGAATTATTGAAAAGCATAAATTGATGGTTTCACTATAAATTTAAGAGAGCTGAATCGAAAGCTCTACAATAGCTAAAATTAATGTTTTGAGAGATAGATTACCATTGAAAATGTTAAATACAAAGCTAAAGAAGCTATTTGACATTAAACAATGATTAATGTTGACAATAGACATAAATCATTTATTCTTCTATTTAATAAAGGTCCTGATATTAGGAAATTTAATTTATCAACATGACCTTGACTATATATCGTCAGCATCTACAGGAATGTTCAAGGCAATAACAATAGACATTGTTTGAGTTTGTGTGCTCCAGTTAAGACAACATCGCGCGATTGTGGCTAACCTTTTATACAAAGTACATATGCCTAGCCCTTAAACTTCTAGGCATCTCAATGCCCAGTAAAGGAAATAAAGGTTTCATGTGAAACCACAATTTTGATTTTGTTTTACCAGGAATATGGGGGTAAGTGTGTGTATATATTTCCACAAAAGTAATGTGGAATAGATAATTAACCTTTTCTAGATGACTGAAGTACTTCTCGTGAGAAATATCTATTTTGACTTTAAAGTTCAAGAAAAGGGTTCAAGATAAAATTTATGAATGGAACATAAAATCGTTCTGCAGTTTTAGTCGAGCTTAGAAAGGTTGCCACGAAATCGATAGCTCGGGGCTTTGTTTTACCAATATTTATGGCCAGTATTAGCGCTATCTATTTTGTTGTTGTTGATTTTGAGCTTAATTTGGGCATTGTGTTCTTTTAAATTATTATTATCAGTCTCATCTATCTGAATAGCAAACAACTCAAGTCGAGGCTCGGAATTCTCAAACCATTGTTTTAAATTTTCATAGACAATTACGTTATAGTAAATAGCGGGATTGTTACCTTGTTTTTTGTGTATTGAATTGCAAGTGCCGTGATCTAAGAGTAACTTCAATAATTGCGGTTATGTTCTCAATTTCACTACTCACTCGCACATATTCTCGACAAACAATACACAGTATCTGGTCGCGAAAAGACACTTTATTTAAATTTTTTGCACATATTAAACAATAGATCCAGCCGCTCGACGAGCCCGTCCTCGCGATTGAAATTCTTATTTTTAGCTAATTCAATCGCTCCTCTGACCAATGTTGGTCGCCACTTCAAACCAAGATTTGTTTGTCGAGAACATGTGCGAGTGAGTAGTGAGATTGTGAACGGCAGTATCGAGTGAAACTTAAATCCTCGTCAGATTATAGACTGATATGTCTACCAATAACATCTTACCCGTAGTAACTTCACTTCTACCTTGGTCATGACTACGGTCAGTACATGACAAACGGTAAAAATCTCTTTGTTTTTTAACACTGAATTGTCAATATTTTTCAATTAGGAATTCTCAATTTCAATACAATGTAGTGCAAGACAGTAACGCGACTTGCAATTTAATGAACATTTATTTAATTAAAAGATTTGGAAAGAATTTAGATCATAAAAATTGGTGTCAGTTCTGGCAATATTTTCTAAACTTAAAACTAAATTTTACATCTGTCTCTCCTTTTCTTTCTGTATAGAAAATGATGGGGATACACTGTTGTCAAATTTTACTTTAGGTTTAGAGAATCAAGCCAGAATCGACACCAATGACTTTACTCAAATAAATTATGGTAAATTGGTAGTGTGTGCTGATTCAAAAGATATACTAACAAAAGACTTTTAACTTGTTTTACTAGCGCAGTTACCTTTATCCCGTAGCTGGATTCCTCATAGATGATGGAGACGTAGCTCCAGCCGAGCTTCCTCACGATTTCGACCATGGCCCGCACCTGGTGCAGATCTGAGGGTATCGTCCGAGTGAAGTATTCGAACCTCGCTTTATTCGACAACTCTGGAGATGTGGAGAAGAATGAAACCTGAAAATATAACTTTGTATGAAAATATTATTATTAAAGTCATATAAAATCATAAATTTCAAAGAACTTGTAAGAGAATTTATTTATGTTAGTTATTCAATTACGCAAGAAGAGCTGAGAGGATTCAGATGAAGTTAGACTCAGAGAAAATGTTGTAATGTAAGGATATCTTTGAAAACCATTGTATGTGGTCGTACAAGTCTACGGTTAGATTTTTCGAAAATTTATTCCAACCAAGATCCTTTCAATGTCTATGCAAACGGTGAAGTATATATACTATATTCCAAAAGTATAACAATATTTACGAAAGAGAATTGGCGGAGCCCCATGCAACAGAAAGATAAATACTTTAAAACTCTTAAATGTTTGTTTTTAACAAGTACAATAAATTCAATAAGAGCTTAAAACCTCATCGGATAGCAACGCAAGCACATTCTTGAGAAACCCATAATTTACGTTTATTGCTATTAAAGGACATCGACAAAATCGGCCCTAGCATGCCCAAAAGAATGTCCTTCACTATTATCTTTCTATTATTTTTTTAACATATTAGCAATTAATCATAGTAAACGGTAAATCTGTTTAAAAAAATAAAAAAATAAAGTTCTGTTACTAGATACTACAGTCTATTCATCCAACTTGGCACTCCTTTTTATTGAAAAAACAGCATTAAAAATCAACTGATAACTGGATTCAAAAGGTTTCAGTTTATAATAACGATTTATTTTATAGTTTATTGGCTTCGTTAATATTTTATTATTAAATGGGTGATTCTGTTAAAAAGTTGTGCCAAGATTGTTTACTTTAATAAATGCATTAGAGGCGACCATAGGTATTTATCAAAAGAAAAATAGAGAAACCTTAGTTAATAATACTTATTACTAGTATTATATTTATAAAAAGATTATTTCTGAAATTATGTAAAGATAGTTTATACTCCCATCCCATGTAATATCTGTTTATTTTTATGAAAATCATAATGATAATCAGGTACATACCTAATTACCGATAGTAAAATATAGAAACAGGTAAATGGAAAGACTGAACATTTCATTTGAAAAGAAATCTATTATTACTACAGGTAAGGTATAGGTATCGTAGGTGCCAACTGATAACACTCATTAATCAATATGAATATAAGCATTTATTATTTTTATTATTAATTGCATTTTATGTTCATTTAATGCATATTATTTAAGTGCTTACATAGAGGTAAACACAATCTATTCAGAATATATAAAGTGTACATCTTTTACGATTAAGTATAATAATTATAACCTCAAAATCAAATACATTCTGTAGTAGGCCACGGTTCCTCAAGTTGTCCGTATCTCAACAAATGCCTAATTAGAGTTTATGAATGATTCCGAACACAACTAGCATTTTCTCATTGCTGGGCGTTCTAGGGCATTCAATGTATGGGGAACGAGCAATGTCCTTTCCGCGATTGAAGTGCCTCGTTGCAAATTGCAGTATATATTTCACAGTTAGGCACTATGACTTTCTGGGTATTTGAAGATATTGTTCTTTAGTAGACGATAGTAGAAAACGTGAGCTGATTGAAACTATACTGTTTTTTGTATTCATATCATCTTAGTCGTACGACAACGGATATCCACACCGATCGGTTCTGCGCTACTCGCATCCATCGGCTTCACGCGACCGAATCACCAAAGTTTGGCAAGAAGAGAAGTTTTGTGAAGAGAATATACAGAATGTAAATTTGAACAGGGTCACAACGGTCGTATCGAGAATTAAAAATCTTCCATACAAAATTTCTTTAAATTTGACCCGTGTCCAGCACCGGCAAAGGAACCGGCTTTTCGGGAGGTTGAATGTCGTCTAGCCTGCGAGCGAGACGATACGCAATAACTCAAATATTATGTGAAATTAAAATGCCTTCCCTAAGGATGGTATAGGAAGAACGAGTCATGACCCACCACGCGGACCTGGTGTAGATAAAGCCAGAATCAAGAGCTAAATGTCCCTTTTGAAGCACAGAGAAGCTCGGGATAATAATTTCTATAAAATAGACATTCCCTGCGTGATAGAATCAGAAATGAGGTAATCCGCAGGAGAACTAACCGACATCGCTCGAAGGATTGCGCAGCTGAAGCGGCAGTGGGCGGGCTATATAGCGAGGAGAACCGATGGCCGTTGGGGCGGAAAGGTTCTCTAATGGCGACCACGAACCGGACGACACTCGGTGGGAAGACCCTCCACCAGGTGGACCGACGATCTGGTGAAGATCGCGGTAAGCCGATGGTAGAACAGAACCGATTGATGTGGAGATCCTTGGTGGAGGCCTATGCTCAGCAGTGGCCGTCGTCGTCGGCTGAGATGAATTTGATGATATATAACAGGCCATTGAGAAAGTTGCTTCTTTCACGATCGCGGACTGAACGCTGACTATTTATTACGCAACATCTGAGGTAAAAGTGTAAGTTGAGGTAAAAGTGTAAAAATGATTCTCTCTTTAGTTGCGCCTCGATTTCACTTTACTTCGTGACAAAATTAGTATGGAAAATGTATAAAGTCGACTATTGGTACGTAAATAAGCTTATTCTCTTCAAACTAACTTCGTCGCACGATGCAAACGCGATAGTAAGAGAAATCGAGGTTCAACTCGCACACCAGCCTCTGAGCTCATCAAATTGAATGAAAATTAAACTGTGCAACCGTGAAGATTTGATTGTGTTTATGACAGATATGTGTCGCAATGTACACTGATAGATTCTGATGTGACACATCCATTCAGTACAACCATATCAGCAATGTAGACAGCCTTTGAAGCCATGTTCAAACACGAGAGTTTCATATTTCCGTGATGGATGTGTTATTTATTACATCTCATAATAATAGAAACTCATATTATATGTTCAAGGTTTTATCCTATATTCCTGGACACAATGGCCGAAATTTGATCACTCGGGGTAAAGATGTATTAGTGCCCAATCAACAACCGAAGGGCAAACAAGTTTATATCAAGATCTCTATACATGATCAAAGATAACTTAATTCTGGTATCGTAGGAAACGCGATTCTTTATGTTCTTTTGTCAAGAATCTTTTACTCTTTTACCCCGTCTGATGCCTGGGTTGCGTGGAATTTTTTGCTACTAATATTTTCTTTAGATTTAAACAACAAGCAGTTAAATGCTTAAAAATGTTAAGAATCTTTTAAATAATAAATCGGTATGTTTTTTTGTCGTAGCCATGTTGTTTTTGGGTATCAGTTATTTGAATCTATTGAATTCCTTTGGAGGAGAGGAGGAGCTCGATGGCGCAGGTGGCTAGCGCGTTCGGCTGCGATCGTTGAAGTTAAGCAACTTTCGCAGTGGTCGGTCATTGGATGGGTGACCAAAAATTTACTATCTCGAGCTCCTCCGTGCTTCGGAAGGCACGTTAAGCCGTTAGTCCCGGCTGCATTTGCAGTCGTTAGCACCCACCAATCCGCACTGGGACCGCGTGGTGGGTCATGGCCCAATCTCCCTATTCCATCCATAGGGAAGGCCTGTGCCTCAGCAGTGGGGACATTAATAGGCTGATGATGATGATGATGATGAATTCCTTCGGTACGAGACATTGGGACTTTCTTGAAGATAAGTTATAATTATTATTCTCGGTTTAGCCTAGTTTCAGATTACTTGACAATGTATGACGAAAAGTTTTCATCAGTCGTTTTTCTCAATTGGAAACCTACCCCTAAGAAACAAGTCTAATTAAGAAACCTAGCTTAAAAGTGCATAAAATGGGAAATATTCTTGTCCTTCAGTCGTTTTCAAAGTTTTGATTTATTGCTCTACAATCTGGTTCTCAATCATGACAGCTTAACTTAAAACTTTCATTTCACCTTTCAGAGAAAAGTATAAGATATACCTAATTTATTTCTTTCAACTGGTATGAGCTTTGTCAATGTCTTATCGTAAATTAAACGAAGTTTACTCAAAAACCAGATAACCAAACTAATACATAAATATACACACATCAAAAAAAGTTTGCGATCCCTTTGAATAATTGTTTGTTTTTTGTGTTACAGAAGACTTTTTTGAATTTTTTTTTCTGATAAGATTCTATTAGAACGTAAAACAATTGAATAATTCAATTGTTTTTTCCATATAAAAAGACATGCAATCCAAGCTGACACTCATTCAGAAATCTGAATTAGTCAATATTATCGAATTTAAAATACTTTTTGTGATTTTAAAAATGCCACGAGGATTATCAGATATTTTATGAGCCAGAATTGTAACTTTGAGGGAAGAAGGCTATTTCTACGAGAGAAATAGCACGCAGAGTTGCCATATCCCAATCCTGTGTAGTAACCACATTGCAGAGGTAGCACAGCATGGGTAATTTAGCTGATCGACCCCGCAGCGGTCGTCCAACTGTTTTGACAGCTGTTCAGAAGCGCTACATCAGGTTGCTGGTAGCCCGCGACCCAACAATAAACGCCACAAAATTAAAAGCAGAAATACGGGCCACACCATTCGGAATTGGTTACACAAGGCTGGATTGGCGGACTGACCAATTATGCTACCGCGGCCCTGATGGCCCCGTCGAAATTCTTCTAACCATTCTGAAGCTGCAAAGCAGCGCCATTTCTTCGCATTGAAGGTAACCCACAATGTCAAATTAATACTTTTACAAGTATTAAACATTTGAAAGAAGAAATAGCAATTATAGTTATAATTTTTATTTTTTAAGCATGTAACTGCTTGATGTTAAAATCTAAAGAAAATATAACTAGAAAAAATTCCACGCGGACCAGGCAGCAGACGGGACTCGAACCCGCACCCTTCGCTATCCGGGCGAATGCACTGACCAATTAGGCTACCGCGGCCCTGATGGCCGCGTCGAAATTCTTCTAGCCATTCTTAAGCTGCAAGGCAGCGCCATCTCTTCACATTGTAGGTAACCCACAATGTCAAATGAATACTTTTACAAGTATTAAACATTTGAAAGAAGAAATAGCCTTCAAGTTCCTTCCTTCTTTTAAGT